TTCGCCCCATGACGGGAATTATGTACAATTGTAATACATATATATCTGTGTACGTGTATTACGTGCGTCAGCGGGAGATAAACCCACTGGTGCCGGGATAACAAGTGGGTTATTGATTTCGTCCACTTTGCATAATTTTTAAAATTCATTCATCTTTATTCCATTTTATTTCATTTTATCGACTTCCGGGCTGAGGAAGTTATTTTAATCACAACGAAAATCGAAAATTGGGTTTTCGTTGTATCTTCACGTTTTGAGGTACACTGTTAGAAATTTTTTGAAATATCAGGGAAGATCTTATGGAAAATCTTATGAGGGTAACATTGCATCGGATTTCGTTTGAAATTTTCAACAACGACTAATTTTTTTCATTAAATTTTCGTACATGTTGTTGTTGACGAATCAGTTAATCAATTGAGTTGAAAATCTAATTCTTCTTTGCCCTAATATCGATTTCCTCGGGGATGACAAATCAATTCGAATTCGCCACATTTATCGATAATTGAGATTTTTGCACATTTTAACTAATTTTTTTTATTTGTACAGAAAATAGATTGCGATATAACTCGAGGCTGACGGAATTCCGATGAAAATCGTCTCAACTGTTGTTCATTTATCCGCATAAAACTTTCCGAATTTGAGTTTTTTTCCGTAATCAATGAAGGAAAGGCAATTGTACAGTACAAAAATCTGGCGTGGACTTCCTGAGACACCGATTAGTGTTGAATTAACACCAGATTTTACATGCGAAGTCCTATAGTGCGGCGCAATTTTAGCACCGCAACTCCACACCAAAAACGGTGTGGACTCATTGGGACACCGGGCGGTGTTAATTTAACATCAAATTTTTCACCGCGTGATCGGGAAGTTATGGTTCTACCCGTACACTTCGCGACATTTCGATAATTCAGATTTTTACTTATTTTAACTAATTTTTTATGTGGATACGTCTGTTTTCATTATGGGGGGGATTTAGGGAAAAAGTCCTTATGGTTCCTTATCGACAGTGGCGCCATCTATCAGAATTCTAGAAGATTCTAGATTTTTCTAGAATATTACAAATTTTTCTAGCAAATTCCAGATTTTTCTATGAAAGTTTACATTTTTCTAGAAAATTCTCCGCTTTTTTTTTATAAATAAATTACAATTTTGAGGGATCCTTAGCGCTGATCGGCAAAAGACGGACAGTTATTTATGATTGTACATAACAATTGAACCGTATCGTGATTATAAAAAACGCCTTATCATGACGAGACGGTGCGAAATCCCGAATTCTTCTAATATACCTAAATAAATATATACAATGAAAAAGTATGATGTTCAGTGAAGAAAAGGGAAGACCATAGACGCATCCACGTAAAATTACGGCTGATCTCAAAGATACAGCCACTCGCAGATTTTTTTATTTGTACAGAAAATAGATTGCGAGATAGATTGAGGCTGACTGAATTCTGAAGAAAATCGTCTCAACTGCTGTTCATTTATCCGCATAAAACGTTCAGAATTTGCATTCTTATCCCTAATGAATAACGGAAAGGCAATTGGTCGGGAAGTTATTGGTTCGACCCGTAACGGCTCACACCCACTCCACCCCACCGGCAGTGGGAGCGGGCGACCAACAGCCCATTCGAATTTTTTCATTTCTCCAATTAATGACTTGATTTTCTCAAACTCACCTGAACCCTCGCGACAACGTCAGGGGAGAGAGATGGTGCACAGTGTCTCGCTTCATCCGGCAATGATGTATTGTGCTCCTTATCCCCACCACTGTCTCCTCCCACGTCCACACCGATAAAATAACCGGAAAGGGTAACGGATAGCTCAAGTGGTACGAGCACTTGATTTTCATTCCATGTGGCACTATCATTATCCGGTGGTGGTTCGTTATCGCTCAGGATAATGTCATTATCATTATCGCACGATAATGATAGACGTACACCGAATAGACGTTCAATTGTACTGGCCTGATCCTTGAGTTGCTTCAGGCACCTGCGGTCAATGCGAATCCGCGGGACCTCGCCCATTTCTCTGACATTGCCAGAATTATTTCTCAACTTGGGTGTTTTTTTTATATTTTTTTCAATTTTAAATTCTCACATTTTGTGCTATTTATTGGAAATTAAGGCGGGCTTCTATTTTTAATTCCTCGGGGTTAAGTAATATCCAGCATCTGATTGACCAACTCGCGCGCTTCTCATGGACACACAGACACATGGATGAACCCGTGTTCTCGGTGTCGAGATGAATCGCTTGACGGAAACTCACGGGGAATTCCGTTCGGGCCCTCCGGTGCGCTCTTGACGGTCTGACAGTTACTGAAACGACAGTAGCGTAGCGGAACTGTTGGATAGGATGTGTGGTACGTTCACTCCACTGTGTGGAATCTCGTCAACACGCGTTCTCACAGACGCGAGATGACTATTACGTGTGTATTTCTCGCGGTATCTTAATAACGCGCATGTTGGGCGGCTAACGCATGCGCTGGGAATTGAATAGAGCTCAATAAGTAAACATGGATTCGTATTCATTCAATTGGATGCACATTGATTGGGGGAGATTCGGGGGGATTTTGGCATTTGCATCGGATCTTTGGGTCATCTGAAGGGAAGATCTGAGGGAGTATGAATAGGACTTCCTGCCGAGGTTTTTAAGACCTGAGAACTCAACACCTGGGGGAATACGCTGGCTTTATTGGAGTCTTGAATGCAGGCGCAATCACAGTTGTCAATAATAGTTTTATCTTTTTGTGTATGCAGTAAAACTCGGGAACTTTAACTTGCAGAAATGAATCAAAAGCATTCGATTATTTCGTTGCACTACTTTTAAAATTCAACTTTTTCAATTCTTTCGGCTCCCGGATTTTTCCCCCTGACAAAAATTCCCCCGGAAACGAATTCCCGAAATTATTTCCCGTTACGAATGTAAAAAACAATTACACAAATATACGTTCCCAACGTCAATTTTATTTATTACATCCTTCAATCTCATGGAGAGAAATGTTCAGTAAAAATTCGTAAAGACGGAACTCACAATGCGCGCACCGATTACGAAATTAACTCAAGAAATTTAAGTGACGGTATTGTAATTTTCCACAAGAGATTCAGATAAAAATGACGGAACGGTATGGAAAAATTCCGTGACAGTTCCGTGAAAGTTCCTACAAGACGAGGGATTTTTTTCCACGGGAAAATTTTCTGGGGAATTTTTTCCGGGAAATTTCTTTGGGGGAAAAAAATCCGGTTACCATTCTTTCAACTAATCTACACTGTTAAATTTTTTTTAATTTGCGCGGTAGATGCATTTGAATTTTCAGTGTTGTGAATTTGAGGTTCACTTCAAAATCAAATCATTCATGGAATCTCTTGTTCAACTTGGAAATCCAAGAAAATTTGGGTTTTCCTGAATTTTCACATTTTTCATCGTCATGGCCCATGGGGATCTGACAATTGTAGAGTTCGATAAGAAAACATGAATTCATATGCACATTGATTAGGCAGATTCTCTAGAATTCGGGTATTTGTATCACATTCTTGTTTCATCTGATTGAATATCAATAGGACAGCCTGTCGAGCTTTCCAAGACCTGAGAACTCGACACCTCGGAGAATACGCAGGCTATATCGAAGTCTTGAATGCAGACCCAATCACATTTATCAACAATACTTTTATCGTTCGTAAAAAAGCACTAAAACTCGGGAACTTTCGCAGGAATGAACCGGGAGTACGCGATTATTTCGTAGCACTACTTTAAAAACTAATTTTCCAATTCTTTCAACTGGTCTACACTGTTAGATTTTTTTTTCATTTGCGCGGTAGATGCATTTCAATTCTAAATGTTGGAAATTTGAATTCAATTTAAAATAAAATCGTTTAAAAATGGGGTTTCCCACGCGAGACGATTATTGAGATTTCAATGACGCCGTGAATTCTCAAACCCATTGTGAAAATTAAACGTCACATTCAATTCAGTTTTCAATGAATTTAAAATTCAGAAAGACAGTTACCAGATTTTGATTCTCATGGGGAGCTTAAAATTGTAATTTCATTAAATACTCCCGAATTTGGCGGATTTTTCAGTATAATACAATATAATAAAAAATATCAAAATGTGATGTGAATGAGCCGTTGTCAAAAAATTAAAGATTTTTTTTTACCTGAAACTTTAGGACTAATTTTGAATTCGTGTAGTTCTCTCTTCTCAACCTCTCATAAATTTCACACATTTCATAGTTTCAATAATTTTTTAACAATTTTTAACACATGAATGAAATGAAAATGAAACCAGTGAATATAAATATGAAATTCCGTAGCGAAGTGATCAAACGGTTCAAGTCAATTTGGTCTTCAGTTGAGTTTTCCATAAATATTTCCGAATTTAAGGGAGATAGCGAAATTTTCATAATAACATTCTTTGTAGAGCAAATTGAGTGCTACTAAAAAGGTTATGAGAACAATTTTGCTATCTCCCTGAGATTTCGAGATTTCATTGAAAACTGGCCAATAGCCAAAACTGGCTTAAACTGTTTGACCACTTCGCTACTGAGTTAATTCTTGGGTTTTGGGGAATTAGTCCACAACTCAAATTGTTTCTCTTTTTAATACAATGTTTATTTCCAATTAGAGAATTCACTTGCACCAGAGCCACCATATTTGACACCAATCGATAATAAATAACACTATTTATGGATAAAAGATTCGTAATCAGAATTAATATCGTACCATTAATTAAGTTATTGAATTCAAGGGAGATTGCGCCTCTATGACCATGAGAAATAAAATATGAATATACAGATATAATGAGATATTAAAAAATACACACATCTATATGGGACTATTTAATTCAGGGGGAAATGATTTTGGTACATTAGGGTGATCGATTTTGAGCCCAAAAAATATCTAAAAAATTCTTTTTTCTGTTAATCACAAGTACTTTGTGGTAAGAAGTGCGGAGATTGTGTCATTATTGTTTTGATTTTTGATGGGTTTAAGAGGGGGGCACCCATCCACCAAATGTCTTCTCGAGTTCTTTTGCTACGGCGATGCAAAGGTGATCCTGATGTGGCGCTGCTACGATCTATTCAAGATGAATTGATAATAGATTCAATGATGATGAAGTTTATTCGTTAAGGATATCCAAGTACTTTGGCTATTTTTTGTCCAGTGAAATGCTTTTCTACAGTGATTTTATTGTTTAAACTTTGAAGGTTTGAATTTGAATCTCGATATTGAACCGTTAGAAAACATTTTAAAAATATGAAAAAAATGGAAAGTTTACTTTTAACTCTAGTCTGATCACCAAAAGCGACCCTGCAACTTTGGTCACCTCCGCGGGGTTCGTCGCCGTGTTATTTAGGCTTTAGCATTGCCGAATTCACTCTACACTGTCCGGACGCGTTTAGCGAGTTTCCGGCAACGTCGCGTCAAGGGCAATTGCATTTAACATGAGAAAAAATAATTCTTCCGTTCGAAATAATTTGTTTTCTTTAGGAATTTCAGGAAATGTGTTGTTCTAAAAATTATAATTTTTTAGACACTCCAATTGACAAAATCAATTTTTTTTGTAAATTTTTTCGGTTAGCCAGTCAATTGTAATTATAGAAAAACGACGCGCGGCAGTCTTTCCCTGACAGTGTGACCAATCTAGGGTTAAAGGAAGATTGATGACATAATTTAAACTTTGCAATTTTTGAAAATTAGCAGTATTTTCTATAAATAATTTATAAACAATGAATTTTCCACCATAAAAATGATTTGTTCGGACTCATATCAAATTTATTCATATTCAAAGTTTTACCAGAACTCGATTTTGTGCCTAAAAAAATTAAGTTTCAGAAAGTTTAAACAATTTCAATTACCTATTAATAAACAACAAATGTTTAATAAAATAATAACTGTGTGCAAAATTTAATTTGAATGAGGCTGCACGATGTTTTTCAAAATTTTCTCACGCAATTTAATGGACAAAGGTGATCAAACTGTAAAAATATTTATTCTCAATTGGATACCCTTAATTGGTTGTATTTTGATTTTATTTTCGTTTAATTTACCTGTACACCGATGGGCAGGCCTTCACTATCGAGACCCAGAGGTACTTGGCACGTTGGTAATCGCAGAACATTGAAGAGGCACCAGTAGCCAAAGTTGTATGGCCTGAAGAAGTATGAGTAGTGGTAGCTAGCTGGGAACGGTGACGATGGGTAGACGAGAACTCCATTGTCACCCAGTTTTTTCTAATGAAGAAAAGATTCATTAATTTTTATAATTAAGGCATTTTTATTTGATGGTTGATATTCTTCTGTTACTGAAAAGGAAAAGATTTTTAAGTAACAATAATTAAAGAATTATTCACACTAAATAAGAATAATTAAGAACAATTAATAAGCATAATTAAGAATTATTATTATTAATCATTATTAACAATAATTGGAGAATTGTTATTTAATTATTGTTGATTTAATCTTCTCCTATTGTTGAACGATTTTAATTGCAATAAATATCATAAATTATTGGAGAAATAGTGAACCCCCAAGAAGGATTAAAACATTGTGTCATCTGTGATAAAAAAAAAACCATAAAAATTGTTTCATACCACTAGATACTCCTTCATCTCAGCCGTGACACCCTCAGCCCATTCACTATTCTCCTTCGGGAAAAAGTCCTCATCGATGAGTTTAAGTACTGCCGCAAACGTAATCTCCGATTTATTCGTCAACAATTTGACCAATTCCGCAGACGCACTAGTTCTCGACTGTCGATTCATGATATCAGACTTGAAATCAGCCCCCTCCTGCGTCATCCAGTATCTCCAGAGTCTGTAACTGTATTCAGACCCTGGTAGTTTGATCTTCTGTACAGACTCTGCAACATCTTCGAAGTGTTGAACAACTTTGGTGAGTGCAGCTCGCATCTCCGGATTTATTTTGCTCGCTCGCAGGTCCCCAGAGCCCTCTTGATAGAATACTCTGAGTTTTTTAACGTCTACTGGTGTGTCTAGCTTCTCTTTAAGATCTTTATCCATTATCATGATTTTTAGTAGAGGCAGGAGATCGTCGGCACGTTTGCAGATCGGCCCAGTCTCGGCCATTGAATTGCCAAAGTCAACGGTTCTGAGTCCAATTCCTTTGAGCGGTGTTGTTCCTTCACTCGGTTTGAGTCCAAACACTCCGTTGAAAAATGCTGGCATTCTTATCGATCCACCAATGTCACTTCCGACTGAAAATGGCACTCCACATGCTGCTGTCACCGCAGCATCTCCACCACTACTACCCCCAACTGCTCTTGTCGTGTTGTAGGGATTGTTCGTTTGTCCGTAAACCATGTTCCTCGATTCGACCCAGAGATTCATCTCTGGTATATTCGTTTTCGCAATGAGAATGGCGCCGGATTCTTTGACGTTGGCGATTACCGTTGCGTCTTGGGTGGATCTGTGGCCTTTTCTTGCCACCATTCCCATTGAATGAAGAAGACCTGGGAAATGTTCGTCTTTATTGATCGATTGGGGCACTATTTGGGGAGAAGGGATTCGCAATTTGATTAGGGGATGTCGAGTTCAGAGTGTTTGCATATTGGGAATTTATTTCGTTAAGAAATGGGTTCAGAAGGAAATGTGAAGAGATGTTTATCTTTACAAGCGTCATCAAAATTGTTAAAAATTTCAGGATTAAATTTCCGGTACACTTTTTGAAAAATTTCATTTGGTATTAGGTTGTCTGAAATTTCAACGAATTTCGTCATTGAACATTCGGCATTTTAGGCAAAAACCAATGAAAATTGGAATTTTAGTTCAATTATTTTATGAAAATAAAATTAAAGTGCAAACTGGGATTTTGAGGGACTAAACTGAAAAATGGAAATATCTCTGAAGCTTCATACGAACGGGTATGCATATTTTGATTGATTGAGACAGACAATACCGAGACAAATATTATGAAAAAAAAAAATATTGAAATTGATCGGATAGTTTTCGAAATATTTGTGAAAAACGATTGAGAAACAAATGGCGACTTTTCCAAAAAGGCTCGACAAATTGAGCTGAAATTGACCTCAGAGTTATACCTCATTAATACCTATCATCCGACAAATTTTTAATTTTCTAAAAATAATTTTAGTCCTTTAATTGTTCGATTTTCTAAAAGTTGACCACCAGATACATTTCAGACCATTCTACGTAATTTCCAAGCAAAATTAGAAAATTTAAAAATAGAACGATTGCAATGCTTCCATTCGGAAGTATAAAAGAAAAATCCACCCATTCCATTTTTCACATTACCTTTCGCTTCATTACTCTCTTTAGTAGTGAACGGTACTCCCAACAGTGGCTTTGTTATTTTGAGTATGTCAATGTCAATATCACACGCCAGTAATTCATCGACTTTTCTCGCCTCCTTTATCGCTTCCCCGTACCTCTCATCCACAATGACATTCATCAAACAATTCACCTCCTTGCATCTCTCTATGAATGCATTAACGACTGTTTGACAAGATACTCTCTTATTCCTTGAACATAAACAAGAAAATATGAATTCATCTTATTATCATGGTGTGGATTTAATTTGAGTTTGTATATTATTAAGAAATTTAGATAGATTAGACTCAATTCCTATTCTTATCAGTACTTTATTAGTTGATGAATTGTTGTTATTATTTGGGCCCAACAACGTCTGTTGCATTAATTATTCAACTGACCACCTTCTGTTGAATTAAAGTTGTAGAATCAATATCACGTAATATAAGAAATATAAATAATCCTTTCCGTTATGTATTCTTTTAAACTTTTGAAAATCGATTGACCCACGATAACTATAAAAAAAGTTCTGAATTGATTGAATGATGGCTTAAAACATTTGTTTAGATGTCCTTTCGACCGAGTTCGAAGGTGAAGGCGATAGCAATAATCGTTATTTTGATTTATTTAAAAATCTGAAAAAATTTTGCATTTTTTGAAAATCAGAATTCCAGGGATATCGTTGAATATCGTGCTTCAAATGAATTCAATCATGGCTTAAAATGTTTGTTGTAATGCCATTAAGTCGAAGTTGAAAGATATAATAATTACGATAGCTATATTGGTTGATTTGATTTTACTGATGTTCGTTGAAAATTTCGAATTCTTCATGAATTCCCCTGATAGTGGGCTTTCTGATGATTTCTTCAAATGTGATGTTTCAAATTCATTTAAGTATATGTAAATAAAATTTTGCTATTAACTTTTTATCGAAGGGTTGAGGGGAGAGATAGAACAGTAAAAAATACAAGCGGTTGTATAGAAGAAAGGAATAATAATAAGAATAATGATGATGACAACATTCAATTAAGTTGGAAATCTGACAAAATTAATTGAAAAAAAATCTTATTCAATTTGATAAAACAAAATAAGCAATGAATTATACAGGATAGAAAAAAATGATGTGCCAAATACCCATCCCGAAGCGTATTGTTAATTTATCAACAAAAATCACAATTTAACAGAAAAACCTAGCGAATTCGCTAGACAATTGTATTCAATTTCTATTGAACTTTCTATTAGTTTTTGGCCTATATGACTAATTCGATTGAGATATTTTCCATAGAATTTCCTTGGCTCAAATTTTTCAAGTTTTGTTTGATTTTCTTGATGAGAAGGAGAGAAAAATAGAATGAAAAAAATTTAGGAAATTTGAGCCGAGTAAATTCTATAATAAATATCTGAAGAGAATAAGTTGTATCGCTTTCTATTGACTTTTTCTATTGAATATTTTCTGTTGAACATCAATATCAATAGAATCACCTAAAAACTAATAGAAAGTTCAATAGAAATCCAATAGAATTTTCCAGCGAATTCTCTAGTTTTTTCTATTAAATTTTTTCGTGCGTGCTCCCACCTGTTACACATTATGTTTATTTAATTCGATCCTGTAATTGGTTGTGTGCTGTTGGCTCTTTATGGAATGAAAATGAAATGAAACGAAATGAAATGGTAAATAAAAACCAAATGTACCTGATTTTCTCGGCCAATGTTATAGCACTCTCCAGCAGTATTGGATTTTTAATTGGGGGAACTTTTTCCTCCTTTCCATTATAGTAAAGTCCAAACACAAAATCAATAACGCAGTCAAATACATAATGTAATTGTACCACAATGCAACGTAGCAGAGTGCAGAATAATTTCTTTGATGTTTCCATCATTGTTTCACCCTCCAGCCTATTCACCTGGAAATTTATTCACCATTCTTGGTGAGGCGACAAAAACTCGTTTGCAGTGACATAAAAAAGTGACTATTCTGACTTTTGAACTTTACCTGATGATTTGGTATGGATGTACACATTTTTTTCCTCTATACAATGTGAGAATAAATGATTCGATGGATGTATGCACTTTATGATGACAGATCAATGCACACGGTGCATTGATTTACCTCGATGATTCGAATAATCGATGTCGTTTTAGAGAGTTGTGCACCAGACAGGCTGGGCGAAAAATGTTAATCACTATTTACCGAAGAAACTTGTTTGAGGTTTTTTTGCATAGTTTAAATAAACGAACTAGTTTGCTATAGATGACAGGCAGAAAATATGTCGCCAAAGCGCACCCTGCATTTTGCTCCTCCAGGGAAATGGAAATTCCAGGGGTGGGAATAGTTAACGAGAGATGTCAGCACTGGGGAATTCCACTGCTGGGTGTTCTTGTCAGGTGCACAGTTGAGTTTTTGTCAATAACAAATTTTTTCTTTTGTAGTTTATTCGGTCCCTCGATTTTCATTAGGAAATAGTCATTGCTAGACAAGTTTTTGCTTTGAGTTTAGAGTATTCTGACTGCCAGACTTGGTGTACTGCTAGCTTGGATAATTTTCTTGATGACACATAGCCTCCAGTGTGTGTTGATCTCGTTTGTGAACAACATTCACTGTCATTAGATTGACAGCCTTCACTGCCTCATTATTTTTCAGCAACACAGCTCTATGTGTTAGCTGTATTATTTTTGTTTTTTCGGTGGTTTTTATTATCCAGCACAACGGGGGCCGAACAATCAGCGATGTCCGTCTCACAGATGGAGAGTATCCTTTTTTCAAATTGCGATTAGAAGAGGATGAGGTAAATGGATCATGTTGATTCATTGATATTTGCTGATTCAATGATGAGATTGAGGTTAATTAAAACTCATTTTGAAGTGTCGGAAAATACTTTCAAAATGATAAAAAAGTTGTTGAATTCCACTCTGCCAATGTCGAGTAATTGACGGTTGAAAGTGAATCATTTTACTCCCTCTCCTTTAATAACAAATCATTTACCTCCAGGTTATGTCATAGTTGTTATTAATTCCCTAATAACTATCAATTGCTTAATATTTCTAAGAACTTATTAAAAATAGGAGAATTCAATTGACTTTTTAAATGAGAACCTGAATTTTGGTTAATTTATAAGAGAGATAAAGAATTTCATAAATGATTTTACTTTTAATTGAAATTTAGTTAATTGAACTTTACTCATTTTGAAGTGTGAGAAACTACCTTCAAAACGAAGAAAAAGAGTCACTCAGTTTTACTCTCCCAATCTCGAGTAATTGATGATTGAATATGAATAATTTTACGTCCTCTCCTTTAGTAATAAATCCTTCACATCCAGATTATGTCATTGTTATGATCAATTCCCTGTGAACTATCAGTTCTTTAATATTTTTGACAACTTTTTGAAATTTGTGAAAATTCTATCAATTTTTGAAATGAGAAACTGGATTTTGTTGAATTCTAAAATAGATAAAGAATTCCATGAAAGATTTTACTTGCAATTCAATTTTAATTAATTGAATTTTACTCATTTTGAAGCGTGAAAAAATACCTTCAAAATGAAAAGAAAAATCGTTCAACTTCGCTCTGTCAATCTCGAGTAATTGATGATCGAAAATGCATCATTACCCCTCCAATAACAAATCCTTCACATCTAGATATTGTCACAGTTATGATCAGTTCCCTAAAAACTATCGATTCTATGATAACAGGAAAATTTTAAATAACAAATTCAATCAAATCAATTGAGTTATCATTCATTTTCTTGTTATCAGTATAAAATAATATTTTTATTCAGAGGATCCTTACTCTTTGAAGCATTGGGTGAATCTGCAGCTATCGTTCGGCTTCTTGATGTTCAATATTAAAACTTAGATAATAATAGCGAAGTCAAGGTTTGAAATGAAAAGATAAAAATTTGAATAATAGCGATTTTTCAGTTTATTGTTTAGAATGAATTTTTAGTCATACAAAAGAGAAGAATCCGAAGGACAGAGAGAAAAAGATCGACATTCGATCGACGCAAAAAAAGAATGAAAAATAGAAAAATTAATTTAATGATTTTTATTCTGAATCGATGGTTGCGATGAAAATGAGAAGAAAGGCCAAAATGAATAGATCGTCTCGCAGATTTCAGTACGAACCAATAATTGAATATATTATATTGTTTATATTCACTATGATTTTATTTCACAATTTCAGTTTTATAATGCAAAAAATAAATTAAATTCTTAAATAATTATTTGAAAATCTGTCCTTGCACGGAACTGCGCGCTTAAAACGTAATAAACAATTCGCAGTTTATCGACCGTTAAGCTACGAAATCCGATTTGAAATGTAAGCCTAGGGTAGCAAGAATATTTCTTGTCTAAATTTTACTTCGATCTTAATCAGTTGTACGTCGGGCACGATAACGTAACTGATTCCGAAGTTACGAATGCGTGATTGACCCAAGGAGCTCAATCAAATTGACATGCTCTTTTGGAACTGAAAACGAGATTAAAGACGTATTTTAAAAGAATGAATTTAGTGGCCGAAATGACAGTGCAATTGCGCTACATTTGCGATTATGGAGATTTCAAGAACTCGCGTGGCGCATTAGCCCGGGAATTTGAGCTGCATCGGCAGCAACTCAACGTGAGATTGGCAACGAATAAGTCGAATTTATTGGAGAAATAAAATTTTGAATGAAAATCATCGTGAAATAAATTCTAAACATGACAATTCCTTAATATTTTGGAATAGAAAATTTATTCAATCTGAAGTTCGCTGTGAAAGAGCTCGAGCGAAATTCTAAAAAATGCGAGAAAGAGGAGAAAGTGGAGAAGGCAAAGGTGAAGAAAGCCATTCAGAAAGGGAATATGGAGGGTGCGAGGATACACGCTGAGAATGCCATTCGCCAGAAGAATCAGGCACTCAATTATTTGAGGATGAGTGCGAGGGTGGATGCTGTTGCCAGCAGAGTACAGACAGCTCTGACGACGAGGAAAGTCACACAGTCGATGGCTGGAGTCGTCAAGGCCATGGATGCAGCCATGAAGTCCATGAATCTTGAGAAAATTTCCAATCTCATGGATAAATTCGAGAGTCAGTTTGAGGATTTGGATGTACAGAGCTCGTACATGGAGAATGCAATGTCTCAGACGACTACCACGAGTGTTCCTCAGGCTGATGTGGACTCATTGATGCAACAGGTTGCTGATGAAGCTGGGTACGTTAAATTATTTATTATCATTTTTCATTTTTGTTATTTATTTCGTAATTATTCATTTTTCAAAATTCAATAAGAAAACTTAATCTTGAAATTTCAAGTGAAAAAAACTACAATTTTTTTAACAAAGACTAATTCAGGTGGAATTTCTGGGTTGTTATTAACAAATCAATTAATTTTCTAGAATAATAAATAAAATTTAAATGTTCAGGTGCCAAAATTTACTGAAAATTGTGGAAATTCAATCAATTTTTGAAATGAGAAACTGGTTTTTATCCATTCGTTCGCCTAATAGACAAAAGAGAATTGAAAACCATTGTATGAAACATGAATAAACGAATCATAATTGTCCAAATCATTTAGGTCAGAAGAAAATAGAATAATTCTAATTTCTTAATATTGCGTTTACTAAGGTTTTCTTCGAACAAAGTTGATTAGTTTTAATGTCTAGAATGATGAGATTACCTCACATTTTTGGCGTTAAGGATAGGAGAATCTGAATGCAATATAGTGAAAATGATGATCGGTTTTTCCACTTTGAACAAATAATATTAATATCCAAATACAAAATTTCTGATATGAATAACAAGAAGCTGTGACTCAATATTCAAAATGAGGTTTTAATTTTTAATTTGGTGCTGAAAACACGAGATGACAATATTCTAAGCACGGAATTATATTGATGAGATGAACAGCAGATTAATTGAATTACCGTGTGAACTAACTAAAAATTGATAACAGTATGGCCACGCACTTTTATAAATATTTCCCTGAATTATTTTACTTCGAATTGAATTTTAATTCACAACATTGAAAATTTAAATGCAGTTTTCGCTTGTTTAAAAAAAAAAATTAACGATTTAATAATTTCAATTTGTCTTGCAGATTGGAACTGAACATGGAGCTTCCATCAGGCCAACTTGGAAGCATTGGCACGTCAACAGCTGTCAGTCAGGAGCAGGACGAACTCACACAACGACTGGCACGTTTAAGAGAGTAACAGAACTGTTGTGATACAGTATATTTTGATTAACTCATTCGATCCAAATACAATATGAAAAGAAATATATCTTTACTGTGTAATATAACATATTATTTTATCGAGAAACAATTAACATTAATTTTGCATTATGCAGTTTATTACTTTCGAGTATGGGAGTAGGATTTATCAGGCTGTTGACCCTTTTTGTATTTACATGAATCACATTAAGACGAAATTTTAAAAGCATCGAGGGAAGAACCCTGCGAATTGAATCTTTCTTGAGAAAATAACAGGAGGAGCTTGTATAAAATACAATTAAATGATTTGATTTGCTTGATTACATGATTGTTTATTCTTTATCGCCGAATATTCCACAAGATTGAGAAAGCAATATTGAGAAATGATGATTTTCTTAATTATTTGACTGTAGACAACATTTGAAAAGTCTTCATTCCGTTTACTATTTATTCTCATAGTGTATTTCTCTTATCAGACGGCTGACCCGTTCGGTATTCACATAAATCAAATTAAGACGAAATTTTAGAATTATCGAGGGAAGAACATTCGGAATTAATTCCTTTCTGGGAAAATAATAGGAGAATCTTATATAAAATACAACTACATGATTGAACTAAATTAATGACATGATTTTTCCTTGTTTATCATCAATATTCCGCATAGTAAAGTAAGAAAACCTTCAAAAATGATAACTTTCTTAATTATTTGACTTTAATCAACATTTGAAAAGTCTTCATTCAGTTTACTCTTTACTCTCATAGTTTATTCTTCTTATCAGGCGTCAGATCAGTTTTTTATTTACAGAAATCAAACTAAGAAGAAGTTTTAGAATTATCGAGGGAAGAACATTGGGAATTAATTCCTTTCTGGGAAAATAACAGGTGAATGTTGTATAAAATATAACTAAATGATTGAACTAAATTAATCACATGATTTTTCCTTGTTTATCATCAAATATTCCACATGAAAAATTATAATTATTTTAATTATTTTACTTGAATCAACATTTGAAAAGTCTTCATTCCGTTTATTCTTTATTCTCATAGTTTATTCTTCTTATCAGACGTCCGACCCTTTTTTTATTCACATAAATCAAATTAAAACAAAGTATGGAAAAAATTGGATAATGAAGTTTTTTTAAAATTAATACTTGACTTTAGTCAGCATTGAGAAGTCTTCATTACCGACATTAGAGCAGGAATACACGTGTGTGTTTCCACTCTATCGTTTCTTTTTTCTCCAAGCAACGGGGTGTGCGCGTGCTCGGTGTTTGCTCATTTACACGTGTTTTGCAGTGAAATTGATTTTCCCTCGACAATTAGGTCAAAATAATAACAACTAGTGCATTCTGCATTAGTGACTTTGACACGTAAGTACCCTCGAATAATATATGTCTGAAACTTTAATGAATTATTAATTATTCCGTAGAAAGTAATGAATTTCGAGGTTACGTAGCAGCATGCTTGCATGCTCAAACCGCTCAAGCACACTCACGAAATATTTTTTTGTTAATTACAGAATTTTTCTATTATAATGGCAAAATCACTGAGGAGTAAGTGGCGAAGGAAATGCAAGGCTGTCAAACGTGAACGTTATGGAGCCAAAGAACTTGCTAGGTTGAAGAAGACCCTTGGTATCGATGATAATGCCACACAACAGGACGTGGAAATGTCAGATATAACAGAGATCACAACAGGTTTAGTTATCGCAACCGGTAATCACTCGAAATTAATTTTTCGAGTCAATAAAATGAATTCAATTAAGGGGGTACCAAGGTGAAATTTGAGAGTCTTTGGTTGACGAGAATAGCTATTCTGAGTCTTGATATCTCATGGGCAGTGATTGGCACTACCAAGTACATTAGTACTTAAATTTCCAAGTAAAGTATTAAGTATGTGCATACTCCGGAATTAGTCCGCCAATCAGTACTAAGTTGCTGAGGAATTTAGTACTTTAAACCGTAAATTTCGTGATTCAAACTAACGGGTCAACTAACCCAATTGTCAGTAATTTTATCTCGTTGTCATTTATGCTGAAAAATCGGCTAAGTGTAATCTTTCTATTTTTTCCATTTTCTTCGTGATTTTTTTTTTTAATTTGAATAAAATGGAAATTGAAAATTTAGTGAATATTACTTTAGTATCAAATTGTAAAAAATCATGAAAGATGCGAAGCGCTTTTCTTATTTATTATTACAGTAGAATCTGTAAAGCTCAATTATAGAAAAACAGTTGTATAAAATTTTGCATTGAATAAATGATGTCGTAAATATTCTCATTGGAGAACTAATTAAAGAAGTTTCTCAAACATATGGTGTCTAAAGCAGACCATCGCTTACTAAAATTTGGAGTGCTCTGAGGTCCAAGGCTCAGCCCAAGATCCGAATTTCGAAGTAACACGGTAACATAATGAACGATATTTGTCGCGCTCTATCTAGATGTAAAATGACCGCTACGCATTCGTGAATCACTGTTTATAGCCGTTATGACAAAAAATATTGTTCATCACACGACCTCATAAAACTTTTCTAGCTCATATGTTTGCAACCTTCGCCTTCGGTTCGAGCTGTCAACTCGTATTCGCCAGAAAACTTTTTTTAAAATAAATATAGGGGAGAATGGGGTAAAATGGACACTTTTGACTTTTTTTGAATATTCGTAGCTCAGAAACAGATTTATCAATTGAGCTCAGTCTAAGCTCATCACAAAGAGCATTCATTGTTCTTTTTATTGAAAAATAAAACTGTTCTATTTCATGAACAATTCAACACGTCATGAACATTTCAAAAAAGTTCAAAAGCGTCCATTTTACCCCACCCTCCCCTACTATCATTTGAAAACTTTTTAAAAAGCAGAATAAATGAATACTCTGACGAACAGTCTGTGTTCGAAACGTTGGCAATTAGTGAGGATTTTGGTGATTAGAATTCACCCCGTGTTGTTAGAATTAGTGATTTAGTGTTGGATTACTGAAGAATTGTTTCTCTCTATTCTCTATTATATATTCTCTTTCCGTTCTCCATTTCCTGATTAAAATCGCTGTGATGATTGGTAATGGCTGAGAAGTTGGGAATTTTTTTTTAATTTGAAAGTTCTTCCCTATTGGGTTTCTTTCACAATATTATTCACGAACGCCCTGATAACCTTTCACATGATCAAAATAATAAAAAAAAACAACTAAGAACACGTTCGAAGGGGGAAACACGCGGACCTTAAACTTTTTTTTAAATGATCGTTGAATTTGGAATGGTATATACAATGAAAATTGGTATTTTTTTCGACTATTTCAACATACGAAAATTGATTTTTCTCGATTTACCCTTTTTTTGGTTTTGCTTACCGTATCTAAAAACATTGTTTCGAGTGGTTGAACATTGAAATGGTAAATAAAAGGTGTTTAATATTGAAAAGTGACGAGGTTGGAAAATTAATTACTCAAAGCAACGATTTTTATACGGCATGTGAAAATGAACAAAAATAAGGAAACCGGAAAAAAATCCTGTTATCTAATTGAAGTAATAGAAAAAAAGTTTGAATTGGATGAAAGTTGTGGTGTTAGAAGTATTTCAAAGGCAAAAACAAGAAAAACAAGATTTTTGCTTAGCCTACGGGGTAAAATGGGTTGGGACCAAAATTTTCGTTATTTTTAGTTTTATTTGCTAAACCATGGTATATGAAGAGTTACTCGATAGCTATTTTTATCAACCGAAGATTTTTAAATTTAATCCTGGTGCTTCCTCAGTTTTTAAAACATACATGACAAAAAAACTTTGTTCTCTGCAGTTACCACAGCAGAAAAGATCAAAGAAACCATAAAACCTAAGGGGGAAACCCCACAGGAGGGAGAGATGCAAGTGGAGGGCAAGAGAGTGTACAATAAGAGGACGATGCAGGACCAGTATGGTAATTACCCAGTGTGGATGAATAAGAGGAGAATAGTCAAGCACAAAAAGGGAAGGGGTAAAAACGCCAAAGCTACGACGAAACAGAGTAAACGATTGACGAGGAAACAGAAGAAAAAGGTCCAAGCGAAGTGAACAAGATAGTGCATTAAGGATGTTTATTCATTTTTCAAAAATCTAATTTTGTCATGTTCGAGGAAATAATCGGTAATTTCTTAGACTGATGAAGGAATACATAGAACCAACATTTCTGATAGTTAATAAAAATCAATTGCTGTATTTTCGATGAAATTAAATAAACAAATCTTTTATTATACACTGACTATTGGCCAGTTTTCGATGGATATCTTGGAATGTAACGGAGATAGTAAAATTTTTATCATAACCTTTTTTATCTGCCTCAATTAGCTCTATAAAAAAGGTCATTATGAAAATTTCGTTATCGCCCTTAGATTCTGAGATATTTCGCGAAAACTCAACTAAAAGACAAGTCGACTTGAACCGTTTCACCATTTCGCTAGTGAATTGGTACTCACCTGCTGGAGGACTACAAAAATTGAAATAAAAAGAGGTGGCAATGGTTAAAAATATACAGAATCCAATGGCCAAGGAATCTGGGGTATCCAGGAGAATAATGCAGTTGTTTAAAACTGGGATGTCTATTTTATTTACGAATAATCAATTCGGGCTCGTGGATTATGTTTATGAATAGGAAGGAGACAGTTCTGTACATCAGTTTAAAAAAATAAATGAAAAAGTTTTTGAATGCTCGCGTTTTTGGATAAACATCCTCAAAGTGCATTCCGTTACGTCATGATAATGCTTAATATCTCTGATAATTTTGTTAGTTCCATCATTTTGGTTTTGATGGTAGTTGTAACAAATATCAAATTTAATGTGTTGAAGTATGGCAGTGATAGTGCTATAACTGCGGAATTGAATTGTTTTCCACATTATCTCATGTAAAAAAGGAATAAAGAATGAGTTCATTTTGATACAGATCTCCAGGAATTTAAGCATTTATGAGTCCAGATCGATTTTTGTTGCTTTAATGTGTTTAATAATCTCACGGGTTCAATAATTTCTTATTATTAAATGCAAAATAAACTGCAACAAATGCGAAAACTCATCTTTAGAAATATGACAGTGATAAAGAATTAATTATTTACTGCATTATCTCAGGTGACGGACATGAAACATGGGTTTATGTCAGTTCACAGCTCCAGAATATTACGATGTGTTGCATTTAGTGAAGACTGTTGGAAATTTTTGGATGAAATTTCCAGTGCATTTCTGGGAAATTTTTATCAAGTAACAGTTTTGCTGAAATTTTAAGGCATTTCGTCGCTGAAAATTCAGGATTTCATGGGAAAAACAATGGAAACTGCAAATTTCGGTTCGATTTTTTCATAAAAATTGATGGAAATTCGAAAAAGTCAGGGAACTGTATTCTTGAAATTGCAATTTCTTTCTAATAATGAGTTTAGAAAATGGAATTGCAACAAAACCTTATTTATTTACAAAATCAAGTTGTTTTGCATTGCTTTGATATCTAGAATAACCTCGAAAGCTCAACCATTTCTTCAAAAAAAATTTTATTACAGAAAGAAAGTTAGTTGCAACAGGTATCAAATGCAATATTCATAAATATGGCAGTGATAGGGCTATAACTACAGAATTCAATTAATTATTCATTACATTATGTCGCATAAAAAACATAAAAGACGAGTTCATCTCAATTCTGAGCTCCACAATATTACCATGGGTCTCAACTGATGAGTGCTATTGAAAATTTTTGGATGAAATTTTCAATGCACTTGGCAATATTTTTTTTTATATTTACTAAAATTTCAATGAATTTCGTCGGTCAAAATTCAGAATTTTGTAGGAAACACAATGAGAACTGCAAATTTCAGTTCCATTATTTCATAAAAATTGATAAAAAATTTGGAAAATTCATGGAAATATATTTAAAAAGTTACAAAATTTTTCATCCGTGAGTAGAAAAAATGGAATTGGAACAGAATGTATCTATTCATAAGCCCAAATCTTGTAATACTTATAATAGTTCCACAAATACTTATAATAATCCCACAAGTTCAATCATTTCGTTTTAGAAATATGGCAGTGATAGTGCTATAACTACACGATTCAATGAATCATTCACTACATTATCTCATGTTTGTAGAAAAAATAAATGAGTTCATCTCAATCCAGAGCTCCACAATATTACGATGTCTGAATTAGTAATTTCGAGAAATGGCATTGAAACAGAAATTTATCCGTTCATAACGCCAGATCGCCCATTGATCCGATGGTCTAGATCAGCCACCCGTTGAATTAAATAATCAACCCTCCTACGTTCCAACTCGAATTTACTCTTCAAACTTGTCACATCCTGACGAACAGGGCCAAACGTTTCCAATAGATAATGAAGAGCATTCTTAGCTGCTAATCTTAATTCAGCAACACCTTCAACTGCCTGATCAATTTTTGTGTTCAATTGTATCGTTTCAGTCTCGCGTCTTCTGTCCCTCGCAAATTGCTGAAAGCACAAGCACATGGGGTTTATCCCGAGAAAAATACTTCATTGATTTTGTTAGGAAAAGTTTTTAGTTTGTACATGAAAATTATTTTCTACCGCTCTTGAACTTTCAGTCTATAATACTCTAGAGACTCGCAAAATTTATGAAATTGAAAATGCATTTATTTATTATCTATTGCTAATAAAGTAAAACGGATGCTTAACTTTATTCTTTGGAGTGTAGCGAATATTTGAAAAAAAAACAGCCAAAATCGTATGAAAACTACGGCGCAAGGAGCACTTTGACGGTAAAAACAGGAAAAAAAGAAGTTTTTCGTGGTTACACGGAGCAAAATCGATTTCCCTAGTTATTCCTATATTCCGTCATAAATCACAAACTGTTCAATGGGTCCCAAAAGGCCCAGTGAAGGCTTGGAAATGTCACGGACGTATCCCCTTAAGGGGTAACAGAATGCCGCTGATTTTCCAATTTTTTGAACAAATGTCGTGCTGAAAGTTATCTATATTTTTACAAATCCAAGCACATTAATCTCCAGGAAGCGATAATGAAGATCAATGTGCTTGGGGTTCAAAAAATTTCAATATCTTTGAGCAGGAAGTTTGCTTGAAAATTTCGAGGAAACGGTAGCCTCCTGTTACTCCTTAACGGGAAACGGAACCCCTGCGTCTACATGAATTTTAATAATTGTATTTTCTCCTACAATTATTACTTTATATGTATAAAATTACTTCATCGGCTCGATCATTGTATTGTTGAGGCAATGAAGTAGTTCCATAAATAAAAAATGATAATTGCAGGAGAAAACAATTCTAAAATCGCATTTAGGCACAGGGGTTCTGTTTCACCTTAATATTATGAACTATAAGATTGAAGGGGGGAGTATCCAGCAATTATTTCTTGAATTTCATTTTTTCAAAAATCCTTTTCTCGATAAAATGTTCAGAAACTAAGTTTGATATTCGGCCTAAAAAATACTCTTGGTTTATTTTATAAACTCTGAAGAGGATTTTCTCCAGAAAAAATTGTCTGAACTACTTGGAAAGAAGTATACAGCTGTTATGGATGCAATGTCTTAAATTTCATTTTTTTTTAAATCCTTTTTTTCGGAAAAATATTCGGCATTTAAAATTGATGCTCCCCCAAAAAAATACTCTTGATTTATTCTATAAACTCTGAAGGGGATTTCCCCCAGAAAAAATTGTCTGAACTACTTCGAAAAAAGTATACAGCGGTTATGGACGCAGTCTTAAATTTCATTTTTTCAAAAATTTTTTTCTCGGTAAAATGTTCAGAAACTAAGGTTGATATTGCGCCTAAAAAATACTCTTGGTTTATTTAATAAACTCTGAAGAAGATTTCCCCTAGAAAAAATTGTCTGAACTACTTTGAAAGAAGTCGACAGCTGTTATAGATGCAATGTCTTAAATTTCATTTCTCCAAAAATCCTTTTTTCGGAAAAATATTCGGAAACGAAAATTGATGCTGCGCCCAAAAAATACTCTTGATCTATTCTGTAAACTCTGAAGAGGATTTCCCCCAGAAAAAATTGTCTGAACTACTTCGAAAAAAGTATACAGCGGTTATGGGCGCAATGTCTTAAATTTCATTTTTTCAAAAAACGTGTTTTTTTTAGAAGAGGATTTCCCGCAGGAAAAATTGCCGGAACTGCTTGCATATCCTTAATTTAAAATTCTAATTACCTTCTCGAGTTTGGTCAGCCTCTTGAGTATAGTCTCAAAATCTCGGTCTTCTCCGTCACCCACTTCATTCTCAGTATCTGAAAACCGAAGTATCTGACTCAGCGAATACCAAGCGAGAGCATTTCCACGGTAGTGGATATAATTTAGTCGTTATTTTTATGATTTCACATAAGACTGTCGTCGTTTCAGTTCTCTCGAACCCACTGGTGTGTCTAAATTCACATGGGTTGCGTTGCATGGATAGTAAAGACAGTTTTCACGTGAATTTCCATTTGCATTGTGGATAAATACATACGAGAGGTGTGTGAATAGCCGTGACTCGATCATACACTTACCATGTGGTTTAACATCGGGTCTTCCTGTGCTTGTCGTTATGCCGTAGTCATTCTCTAGATCTCGTGCCTCGAAAGCTGTACCGTCGCTGTCTGCAACAGTAGAAAGGTATTTGCAGTAAATTGCTTTCGAATAGGATAATCACGTCCGGGAAAATTTCGTAGAAAAATCTAGCGAATTCGCTAGCAAATTCCGTTGAATTTATTTTCAACTTTTTATTTCTTTTTGGATTCTTTTGAAAATTCCGCAGCTCATCTACGCAATTTTTTCAGAAGAATTTGATTTTTCTAGACAACTTATTGAGATTTTTTTCTACAGAAATTCATCGACTCAAATGTTTTAAGTTTTTTTCCGATTCTTTGAATGAGAAGAGAAGAAAAATAGCGTGGAGAAAACTTGGGAAGTTCATGTCACGAAACTCCTGTAGAAAATGTCGAAAAAATAGTTTTGCTTGGACGTTTTCTAAAAAAAACGCGTAGTGAAGCTGTGGAATTCTTCAATAGAATCGGCCAAAAACTAATAAAATAAGAGAAGTTCAATAGAAATCTAATAGAATTTTCTATCGGAAATTTTTTCTTGCGTGGTGTTAAAAAGATAAAAAATACTATTCTTCCTGCCGGAAATCTAGTGAATTCATTTGGAAATTTTATCGAATTTCTATTAGTTTGTGACCAATTCTATTGAAAAATTCCGCAGCTTATCTGCGTGTTTTTTTCAATAGAAATAATCTATGGAAAACATTTTGTAGAAAAAACAATACTGCATTGGGATAGCATTCGATTTTTTGATACAACTTATTCTATTGAGAGATTTTCTACAAAAATTCCTCGGCTCAAATTTTCTCGGCTCAAAGTTTTCGTTTGAATTTTTAATGAAAAGAGAAAAAAAAATAGAGTAGAAACAACTTTGAAAATTCATGTCGAGAAATTCCTATGGAAAATGTCTCAATGGAAAATGTTATCTAAAAAGATGAAACTCTACGGATTTTTTCAAAAATCGGCCAAAAACTGAGAGAATTTTCAATAGAAATTCAATTGAAATTTCTATCGGAAATTTCTTTTGCGTGATGTTTAGAGGATGCAAATAGTTTTTTGACGCGCGCCAGCCTGTCAAATAGCGCTTTACAGACGTTGTGCGATAATAGTCCATTATAGGGATGGGCGATGTTTTAAAAACCATTGATTATTTCAAGAATCGACGTTTTTCTCATTACACAGGAGAAAAACCATTTTTTTTATAATTTTTTTTCTTCTCGTTTTTATTGCAAAATATATATTCAAAAAATACAACCAGAGCACTTATGTTTCAATGATAAGTACTGCTGGAAAGTTAAATTTTGAATCTCGAAACAGGGTTTTTAATTAATTGAAGAAAATATATTGAATATTTTTTTCTCATTTTCTTTTCTTTCTTTCTTTAAAAAAACAATAGACGACTGAACTTGTTCACTTATCATTTCTAATATATAGACTGTAGAAAATAATTACTTCTGATTCCAGATAAATTATTATTTTGTTTATTCTCAATCAATCAACATTATTCTCCGACAAAAAAATAAAAAAAATTGTTAGCTTGCTCAGAAACATCGATGTTTGGAAAAACGAACTGAAAATTGATTAATCGGCCGTTCAAAACATCGAATGAAAAACATTGATGTTTGGGCTTGAAAAATCGATGTTTTCGATTAATCGACAAACATCGCCCATTCCTGATCCATTAGAATAGGGGAGGGTGGGGTAAAACGGACGCTTTAGACTTTTTTAAAATTATTCAAAACTCAGAAACAAATTGATCAATTGAGCTCAGTTTAGGCTCGTCACAGAGGCAAAAAATTGTTCTTTATATTGAAAACAAAATTATTACATTTTATCAACATTTCAACCCCTCATTTAAAAAAAAGTCAAAAGTGTTCGTTTTACCCCAACCTCCCGTACAAGGGCACAAATTTAGTTTTCGACGAATGTGAAGTTTACTCAAATTCCACAATGCGAGTGGCTGGTCAATCTCGTGAGTAGAAAAAACCTATGGCACTAGTCAGGAGCGATATTTTTCCGTAGTGACTTTGACTTTTACGAGTTTCGGGAAGCGTCAATGTCAATTCCCGGAGGAGGAGAAGTGAAGAGCACTACGAAAAACGCTATTTACCACGAGTTGTGGCAAAAATTTTTATCACATGTCTGCAAATCGGCAATTTACACACGCAGAATGTCTGTAAAGTGCCGGTTTACAGGCTGGCGTGCGACGAAATACCATTTTTCCTGCAGGACTGGCCGTCCGGCTGAAGTTGGAATCCATATCTGCAGTGACACTCGTAACTACCAGGCACGTTCCTGCAGATCTGGGCACACGGTTTTTCCGTGATACACTCGTCCTCGTCTGTGAGAATGAAAAAAATAATATTGAGAACATACAGTCTTTTGCATATTCTTCCTGTAGTGATGGGAGGATTTGGTTGCTATTAGGGGGGACTACTATGAGTTTTAAAAGTCGCGGGCTAATAAAATGAGAATTCTCATACATTGAAGATCGATTATATATGTCTAAAAATGAATAACTAGCGCAAAAAAAATTAATTGTTTATTGTTTGTTTGTCCCGCAGACGCTTAAAATGTTAAAAATAGTCCAGGGCCTCCAATTTTTGAGCTACAGAGCTTTTTTTTCAAAATTTTTGAAAAAATGTGTGCAATAACAATGATGAGATTTTTTTTAAACGCCCGCTACACAGCTAATTCGTTTTTTTTAATAACGAATTGCACTATTCATGTAAAATAGTCACCAACAAATGTTTCTGAAAGAATCGAGAATATATTTTAAATACGCAAGAAACGACATTTCTTGCGTGTACAGAGAATGCAATTTTTTTTCAACTACTGAATCTTTTTTTGCGACAAAAATTTTTCCATTTCGGTGCATTCTCTGCATGTTTGGCACAAAAAAAATCCTTTTTTGATCATTTTCAAAAAAATATTTTCTTGGCACAAGTAAGACTTGTTTGAGAACTTTATCTTTTGTCTCTCAGTCTATTATCACGATTCAGTAATAATTAAGAAGCCTCGCTAACAACAACTAAATCGTTCCACCTTTTTTATCAGTGTGTTGACTCTTCTATTTTAGTAAATCCGAGGAAAGAGCATTTGCCCCAACGTCGTATCTATTAATATTGAGTGCTGAAAAATGGTTATTGACGCGTTTTACTGGCTACTCTTTAGTTAGCACGTGCAGCAACGACGAAATATCAATGGTAAAAGTCCCACGATTCAGTGATATTTGCATGCTCCTAAGTAACCATTTAATTACACTTAACGATCGGGAATGTTTGAGCATCAGGGGAAATGGTAACATTAATGCTTTTGGGAGGGTATTTTCACGATTGGGGATCGTTAGCTCGGGTTTATATAGGTGCGGGCGGGGTCATTAGTTAGTAGATAAGCTGTTTTCGATTCTTCGTGGAGGAGAACTCTTGAGGAAATATCTGCACGAGCACCATTTCAGTGTTTTTGCAATGAGGCGATTAAATTATTCAGAATTGATTGTACGGAGGAGGAAATATTTTGGTATCCGTGTAGTGCATTGACTTTTCAGGAATTTCTAATGGAATATTAGTAGGAAATTCAACAACTCTTGTTATAATTAGAAGAGATTTCACCATTCCTGTCATAAATTTCTTATCTCTTTGTATTAACAATCAGTTATAAATGGCAAAGAGAGAAAAAGGAAGAGAATAACAAAGGAGATGAGCTCTTTTCAATATCTGCGCAGCCACCATTTCGTTTTTTTCTAATGAGGCGATTAATTATTCAGTATTAATTGTATGGAGGAAGACATATTTTGGTATCCGTGTAATGACTTTTCAAGAATTTCTAATAGAACATTAGTAGGAAATTCAACAACTCTCGTTATAATTAAAACAGCTTTCCCCGTTCCGGTGATGAATTTTTTATTTTCCTACATAAAAAATAAAAGAAAAGGAAGAGAGAATAAAAGATTCCTTTGCCTATTTGATACTGTTAGCGAACTTACAAAGATTTCTGTCAAAAGTTCAGTTAAAATTCTAATTAATTTTTACTCCAGTCACAACATTTGATTCTAAACTGCTTCCAAGATTTCTTAAAAATTCACTTTGAAAATTTGAAATATGATAAATCAGCAAAAATCTTCAAATAGACAGAGAAATGTTGAAAAATCATCCTTAAATTTCAGCTTTTCACGGATTTTGCCAAAATTTTGACGAAAAAATGTATTACGCCTTGTAAAATTTCTAATATTTCATGTCAAAATCATCATAATTTCATGAAGTAAGAATAATTACAATAATTATAGACTTTAAAATAACTTTATGAAATTCTTACTGAAATGAAAATCATAATAATTGGAAAGAATTTCATGAATAATAAACAAATTGATCTAATAAAAAAAAGAAAGTGTGAATAAAAATAGTATTTACCAATTTGACACTGTGTACCAGTGAACCCCTTTGGACAGTTGCATTTACCATGGGTACCGCAAATACCGCCGTTGTAACAAGGTGCCACGCAGGTGGCTGTGACAATACGTTATTCACGATTCATGGAGAATGACAACAAATGTACTGTTTTAATACAGCTTTCGAGTTTGCTTACTCACGTCTGTTGCAACCATAACTGGTAGGTGTTACTTGAGACCATCCAGGGCAACACAGGAAACCCGATGTCGATATTTCAGTGTACGTGAACCTGTGAAAATTACTTGTCACATCTGTTTGTTGCACAATGAAACGGGGGAAATGATTATTCACCTAATTTGCGTGCCAGAGTGGTTGACGTTTGTTGGTGGTTGTCTCGTGCAAACACGTCTCCTAAACAAGAAAATGCGGATTAAGGCTCCAATTACTTCGGTCAAATTAGCAACTTTTTTTCAAGCAAGATTTCAGTTTGGTAAAAATCTTGCTATTCCTATACTTTGTGGGACTTTTATTGTTGAACTAGGGGACTACGCCCCCATAATCTTTATCCTGACCCTTGTGACCCTTAATCTGACCCTCACTGTACCCCTCGTAACCCTTATTTTGACCTTTCATTTTGGAGTCTTAATTTCCAGCACCAAATTTTCATCACCATAAGTCGATTTGGATTTTTACAATATAGACAGATATTGAGACCCTTATTTTGACCCTTGTGACCCTTAAGTTCTGCTCTCCATGACCCTTATTTGGGCTCTTAATCTGACCCTTGTGACCCTTATTTGGATCCTTAATCTGACCCTCATTATAACCTTCGTAAACCTTATTTTGACCCTGGTGACCTTTATTTTCTAACCCTTTATTTTTGACTCGATGTCCTTTTTGGATCCTTACTCTGACCTTTGTGACCTTTAATCTGATCTGAGGAATGAAAAAGAAATTGACTTAATTAATTGAAGTGTCTAAAAAATTATAGTACTTTTTAGAATAACATATTTCCCTAAATTCCTGAAGAAGCAAAGTATTTCGGAAAGATAAATTATTTTTTCCCATGTTAAATGAAATTGCCATGACGCGACGTTGCCGGAAACTCGCTAAACGCGCTCGGGCAGTGTAGAGTGAATTCGGCAACGCTAAAGCCTAACTAACACGGCGGGGAATCCCCGTAGAGGTAACCAAAGTCTCAGGGTTGCGTTTGGTGACCAAACTAGGGTTCAGACTATGAAATATTGGATTGAATGTGGGAGTGTACACTGTTAAACATTTTCGTCTGAATTTTCCGTGCCGAATTCCGGCAGTTTTTATCGTGTTCAAGTTCCACTGAAATTTCAGGAAATCTTGTCATTGAAAAATCAAATATTCCATTGATTTTCTGTTGAAATAATCTGGAAATCAATAAAATAATTGATTTTTCAGCTCAATTATTCTGCGAAAGTGCTGAAAAAATAAGAAAATTCAGGAAAAAATTGAAAATTCATGTCATTTCAATCAAGTTGTGAAATTTCGATTTCACTCTCACTGAAAAGTCATGAATTTCCGTGAATTCTACTAAAACCTTCAAATTTCATAATCATTTTTCCCTAAATCCGATTCAATTTCAATCTCATGATATTTACAAAAACATTTTCCATGAAATTTCCAAAAATTTATAACAGTGTACTGCTCTTATGGACGCAATGTGTTAAATTCACTTTTTCAAAAATAATTTTCTCGAAAAAATGTTCGGAAACTAAATTTACGCCTAAAAAATACTCTTGGTCCATTCTATAAACTCTCAAGAGGATTTCTCCTAGAAAAAAATTTCCGAATTGGATATCCTTAAATTGTACAATCAAAAGCATCAGGTCTGAGTGAAGCCGTAGAATTGCACGTCAAAGCTTTTTCGAGGGCCATTAAATGGAGAGGATACCCCGGTTTTTATGTAACCGAGGTAATGGTCGTTCATGCATATTAATTCATTTCCGTGAAATGACGAAATAATAAATTCAAGAGGGACTTGATCGTTGTTGAGATGCTTAAGACGATCGGGCTGATGAGACTCGGCTGGACAAAGAGGAGTAATCTCACAGTGTGAGATTATTGTGCCTTGAGGGCTTGTAATTAAAATTCAACGCTGGAAATATTCACGTCCACGAGATGCCATCACTGGGAATCGACTCGCACTCTCGGGGACGGGGATTACCATTGCAATTACTTCAGTGGAGCCTTTCGTTGCGATGGCAATCCGCTTAGAATAAAGGGACATGCATGCAGGAAATGTTCACTGAGATCTGATGATTTTCTTTTCGGAGGGAAATTTGTAGGGTAAAAAGATGATGGAAGGGATTATGTTTCGAATTGGGAAGGGGGCATGTGTTAAGGGGTAATAGAAGGCCCTTAATTTTCCAAATTTTTGATGAAGCTGAAACTAGCGAAAGATTCGACAACAGAAGATTTATCTTAGGCGAATCTAGGGGTGTACAAACGTTTTTAAGTAGTGTACAAACTCTTTCGCACTTGAAAAACATTGTACATTTGATTATTTGACTCTCCCCCGAGTCGAATAATTGGACCTGACAAATTCTACTTAGGTCTCTCCGTTCAGAACTGGATAGGTCTTGGGAAGCCTCTTCCCAAGTGCTTCCGAGACCTTTCTACCTCTGGTTATGTCCCA